AACCAGGAATTTCTTCGCAAATTTGGACATCTTCTGAGTGCGGACATGCTCCGGAACGCTGAACTTATCCTTGGCCGTGAAAAACAGGTTGCCGGGGATCTGTTTGAAGTCGGCCTTCACATATGTTTCGTCGTCCATGATGCAGCATTCAACTTTCGTCAGCATGTTGAGGTACAACTTCCTGGCACGGGTTTTGGCGGACTTGTTCTGCTTCTCGTCGCGATTAGGGGCCTTTTGTACCTTGAACGTTCGAAGCCCAGCCTTAGTTTTGGCCTTCTGGACAAAACTTCGGCTTAGGTGCAGCTTCTTAGCCACATCCCTAACGGAGGCGTTCGGATTTCGGTTGAAGGCCCCAACTACGCGGTTGTGATTTTTGGTGTTGTACGGAATACTTTTTCCTTCACTTCTGGGCTTCCGATCGGTGGTCAACCGTTTCTCGAACCGCTTAATCACTCGCGACACTGTGGAATTCGCGTTTCCCAACGTTTTAGCGATGGAACGATGCGAGAGATCCTTGTTCTCGTGATGAATGCGCAAGATTTTATCACGCACAAGCTGTTCTTTCGACTCCATTTCCGCGAGTTTTGATCACAGGACTTTAAAACTTGCAGGATGTAAATAATGCACTATGAACTAAATCCACCCAAATTTTCATTAAATTCTGCCCAACGGTTAAAAAGTTAGAGCAATTTCATAGTGTGGCAATTTCATCGTGGACACACTTTAAGGTGATAAACGCGATTGAACTTTTGTTTTTGGAAAACACAGCTCGAACGAAAACGAGAATATGGGTGTATAATATAGTTTAAATCTAAAATTTTTCCATAATTGAGGGCTGCAAATAAATTTTAATCTATAAACTCAAACTGAACGAAGGCTGAAATGAAGTGAATGTAAAGATGTTCCATCATCGGAGGGCTGAAAAAATAAATCAATAAATTCAGCCTGAACGAAGGCTAAAAAAAGATGTCTCATCATCGAGAAGCTGGAAATAAGCTTAAATTAGTTTTTCAGAATTGGTTGGAAATGCTATCTAACAAGACGCTTCAGTGTGATAATTCATTAGCTAGAAAATTGTCTGAAGAGGGTAGGTAGATAGTTCCGTTGGAGTACGGCAGTATGAAAATTTAATAGAAGTTGGAAATGAGCGAAGGGCCATTAATGCGACAGTACTATTCAAACGCACACTTATTTACCTAACTCGTACAATGTACGAGGAGATTTAAAATTTGAAGAAATACTTCAGCGTGACATGCAATACATTAGGTTTAGGAAAAACTTGACAAAAGGGGCGTCAATTTTCCCTAAATTTAACGTAACGTACTTAATGCTTGCTCCTTTTCAAAATTTAAATTAGCGAAAAAAGAATTGCAAACGAAATGTTGATGAAAATAGATTTGAACCCTATTAGACCGGAACAAATATCATGCTTGTCACCCCGCCACCCTTCAAAAGTTTGGAATATCACAAAGAAGGAAATTAAAAAAAAAACTTTCAGTGTAGGGGAAATGACTCTAATGTTGCACACTTAGATTATTTTACAGGAGTCAGTATTTTTTTACTGGGTTTTTGAATTGCTGAAAAAGTCGGTAAAAATTCAAATGACCGTTATCCGTAAGGAATCAAAGAAATCTACATTTTATTTTCTATAATTAAATGCAGTTAACAGAACTAAGCATGTACTAGTTTAGAATAAATTTTATAATTTTTATATTTTACACAGAACTTTTACCGAACAGTTCCGCAATTCAAAAACCCAGTAAAACCTTACTGACTGGATTAGTGTGTGGCCTATGGATCTAAGATTGGGCCCATCGCTAAAAATCTGCTATTTATCAATTTTACCTAGATGAACGCGTCATTGGGACGGTATCAATGGAAATTTTTGGTCGCTATTGGAAAATTTAGTCGATTGCTGAATTTATGTATGGGCCCAAATTCCCCTATATGTATTTCGAATTTTTTGCGCTCCCTCGCTCGTTCTTTCATAGGCTCTTTTCATGCACCATCAATGTAGAGTGCGCTAGCCGATTTTGACATGCAATGTCATCCAGTCTATTTGTTTACATCATAATGACGATTTTCAAAACTCAAAATAATGGACATTTTATTGCACAACTTACAAATTTCCATCGGGAATGGTCTTATTTTTCGATTATCTACAGATCTGAACCCTTAAAAAATCCGGAGGATCATAACCGCTGGGACAATTTTATAAATCTTCATTTTTCTCATCACAAACATATGGAAGCACCAACCGGATCACTGCAAACTCGATATAGAAAACAAAATATTCCACGTGGATGATGATTTCAAGCACCTGCGCTGGATAAATTAATCAGGAAAGGTGAAAATATTTTCCTCTTCCTATGCTCCACGGTGAAAATTTCCACCCTCATCACTCTTTTGAGGTTTCCCCTATTCACCGCCAGAGGCTGACACAATCGCTTAGTTTCTATTGGATTCGCCTATTGCCATAATTTAAACAATGGGTTTGCTCAAAGAGACTGAATTGGGTAAAGAGGTGACATCTTATCCATTTGACAGGTCTTCTGCTGGATTGGAATAACTTTTCCTATTGGCAAATCAAAGTTGGCACTCGTGGAGGATAGAAGAACTATGAGAGTGATGATGGTTTCAAAATTTTACACGGTGAGGTATACGAGTGCAATCTTAAAAAGCTTTTATTTTGTAAATGGAACATTTTATTTAAATCTGGTTGATGCTATGTTAGTAGAAAACTTAAGGACTACTCAATAGACAAATAATACAGAAAAATTAATTTCTTTTCAGATTTTTAGGTGTACACATAGATTTGAGCTTTTCTACCACTGTAGCAGCAACCAGATTTAAATAAAATGTTCCATTTGCAAAATAAAAGCATTTTAAGATTGCATTCGTATACTTCCCCGTGGAAAATTTTGAAACCATCATCACTGTTATAGTTCTTCTATTCTCCACGAGTGCCAACTTTGATTTGCCAATTACTTAGACAGATAATCAATTGTTCCAATTTTGACAAGTCGTCTCTTTATAAATTCAGCTGTCATTCGTTTTTGCACGTTTTCCTTCCAACGCTCCGCTCAACGATTCTCGTACAGAACACTCATTCAGCTGTACAAAGTGTCAAAAGATTTCATGGCGGTGTGAGCTCGTGCTTTAACTCTTGCATCTCGTGTCGAAGTGTAGATTCAATAGTGATTAATTGTTGTTACGTTGTTTGTAACCAAGTCTGGTAAAACAATATTCGCGTTCGGAAAGCGACGTATGACAATATCACGGAACATCACGGACTCCTGGAGCTATTCCGATTTGATCTCGTCTAGAAAACGGATCAGATGATTAAAAGAACAGAATCTTTCCTTTTTTTTTCGAGTATTGCTAATTCAAAGCTATTATTACAGCCGGATATATTTGTGTTTTAGTAAACAAACTTTTTCAAGTGAAATTTCATTTTTTAGCTGAATCAAGAAAACTATCCTATTGAGATTTTTTCTGACTGTATTTTTAGATTCAGCGCACGATTTTACATAAAAATCCTAGGTTAAACATTGAAGTTCATTTTTTTACTTTTATTTGTAAACCCGAGTGTTACACATAATAAAGTCAACAATTGTGACCCCTGTTATGTATTAGCGTAAAAAATCGCTGCTTTAAAGAAGTATAAGGCTAAAGCAAAGGCTCAAACGTAATGTAATATATGATTTCGATGTAGGGTAGAGCGCTACTTCGTCGTTATCGTCTATTTCCGTTCTATCGAGCAGAAAACATCAGTATAATCAATGGTTTCACCATGCACAAATCATTAATGCGTTTGAACCGATGCGTTAGTTCACAAGCTAAAACACAAAGCCTATTAGAGCGTATTGTTTATTTATTTATTTATAATAATTTTTACACTCATTGTTCTCCAAACAAAAGAAGTGTTCCTAGCAAACTCGCTTTGTCTACCTTCATCCGTAGGACGAAGAAAATCCAATGGCGTTTCAATGCGTTTGGACGGAATTGAAGCTCGTAGGACGAATTTGGAATCAAGAAACAGTGTGGCTCTTTAACAAATTCAACGGTACTTGTCGAAAGGGGAAAACATTTAGAAGCCATCTTTGATAGAAATATTTAATTTATTTTTAAAACCCGTTCAAGAAAGACAGGTAAAGCGCGGGTTGTGCTTAGTAGGACGGAAATTTGATCAAAAATCCTAATGTAAAACCAAATTTAGAATGTTTTTTTTTTTTTTTTTTTTTTTCATTCCCCCCCCCCTCTGAACTGGTGTGAGCATCAAGTGACAAAAGAAAAGCGTGATTTGTTCGGGCCTTATTGGCAAATTTATTGATTTATTTTGTAAATCAGTGTAGATTCACAAAAATGAGGATTTATAAATGGATTTAGTTAAGTAAAATTAAATGTATGTAAGGTTAAAAGCAGGATAGAAAAATCTTAATATAAAAATATTTGCGTCAAGTCTGTTTATTTCATTCGAGTGAGAATTCAAAAAAAAATGATAACAAACCTTGAAAGGCCCGCAAAAAAAATATACCAGTTAGGCTGGTAAAGACGACTCTGCTCATGATGTAAAAATCAATTCAATGTGTGTTTTGTACCTAAAAAAATGCTAATTTTCATTGATACATTGATTATTGATATTCCAGTTAATTGTGTTGAATAGGAATCGTGGATTGAGATTGACACCGAATTGTACTTTGTGTTTGTCTTCAAATCTAGTTTCACGTTAAAAGGCTTAACGAGTTAGCAATAAAATCTCACGACACATATTTTGATCAGACGTATTTCGCACTAAACTACGTCGCATCATACTGCATACGTTAAAATTAAATGCATTTACCTTTTAACAGTACCTAGCCATAGACCTCAGATCACTTTACATTCATAAATATTTAACGTTGCTCATAAAACATTCAGCACCTTCACCGCTGCCATCGACAGACGCTTTCTGCAATTCTAATGGAATCCTTGCACAACTTCTATCTTTCTCTTTGCAGCCCGGTCCCATACCTGGTATGCGCCCGCCTATGGGAGCTGGATCGCATCAGTCTACAAAATCCGCCAACTCAATGGGTTTCATAATGCCACTCTATACCATCGGTATTGTTTCATTCTTCATCTACACAATACTGAAAGTAAGCACTCTGCCGGGGCCTGGTTTTTGGCACATAGTCGATATCATGCAATATGCAATAGACTCTCTAGCTAGGCACGGAATTGATTTATATGTTCTTTTACTCCCACTTTTCCCCATTCCACGTGAAAATAGCTCATATTCAAGAAAACGCCAGTCACGCCTTACCCAGAGATAAAACCAGACACGACCTTTAGGAATGAGGTCTTCACCACACCAGACCCGTATATCAAGCGACCCGACATTGGAACCACTAAACTAGGTATGTACTCCCTTTTCCTCACCGATCATAATTCACTCACGCAGGCCAAAATGCACCGGATCTATATTAACAGCAATCATCGATGTAAGATGCATTCAGCTAACACAACCATACGCTCACATGACTCTTTCATTCGATTTTAACTTCTCAATGAAACACATTCTATTGCGCCGCGTAATCAATAACCTGATACATTTTCCTCTATTACACACATGCATCATGTAGCCTGGAAAGATCACAGCGCAAGTAAGATGAATCATGCATTCGATCTCAGTTTTGTTTTCATTTGAATATTCAAAGGGAAGAAAAAGAAGAACAAAAAAAAACGAAGACAAATAAAAACATTTCAAGAATAATACGCATTTGCGACCAACTACCCCCACGCGCTCATCGAACTCTCGCGTAACCACTCCTTTTATCCACCGACATAGTCGATAGATAGTACAATCCAAATCGTACACTGCTTAGTGGGGACCGTCTCTCGTACAAAAGCAAGCTCAACGAGGCATGAAATGTTTTTATTCATCATTACTTATGGCATTTTATTTTTAGACGACGGAAACTTTGAACGTTTTGCTTTAGTTCCGAAAAAATATCTAGAAATGTCCTTTCGAAAAGTTGTGAACACAGAATCGTTTAGATGAAGGAGATGTGATGTAAAAGTAAAATTTGAGCTACGTATGATTTTACCTTTCCCCGGAACTAACGAACGATTAACGAGTAAGCGAGTAGTTTCAGTTTGCTAATTCCTTAGTTTTGTTCTGTTTGTGTAGTAGACCCCTTTCCGCACCCTTCACTTAAGTAGTTAAAACCAGCCAAAGTCTAATCGAATGCAAGTTCGTTTGTATGTAAGTTTGATTCTTTCCCCATTAAAAAAAACAATCATCGTGCTAGAATCTAGGGCAGGTGAACCAGTTATGGCATCAGGGGTGTATTTGGAGTAGTGCCATAATAATAAAAGCATATTAGCGAGTATAGATTAGTGGCATAAATGGCGCACTAGCCATAACTGGTACACTAGCCCTATTTAATAACGTAAGTATCATGACCATACACCTGGATTGAACTAGATATCTGCTCAACTGTCAATGGTGGAAAATCAGTCCAACGAATGCTATAAAAATTGGTTATTGTAGATGTAGTCGATACAGCGCAATTTTTTTTTTTCGGCCGTGGATGTAATCTGGTATTTTCTAATTGTCTTTGGATGGTTTCAATTTTTTGGTTTTCTCCGTTATTACACCAAAAGTACCCATTCGAACGCTTGAAGAACCTATAAGTTATGTTGTATTCTGACCGTCATTTAGAAAGAAAAAACTTGTTATTCTTCAACCAAAATTAAACAACTTCTCTATAAACATATGCATGTTGGTCGTGAGAATTCCAAGAAACAGTGAATATGTGTACGATATCATGTTTTGACGTTTTCCTCTGTGATATATTTGAAAGTTGATATGATAGCGATGTGATAATGATTCAAATCGATGTGCTTTCGTCCATAAATGAAAAAAAAAAATGGATAGAAGTTGTTTATGCTATACAACGGTTACAATTAGGTACAATTTGAAAGCGACGGAGAAATGTCTGAAAAATAAATTAACACTGGATCAACTCTTTCAACAAAAAAGCTTGTCCTGTTAGGGTTACATGTATTCATGTTTATTCTTCAAAATTAGAAGATACAGTCATCGTTTGATAGTTGGGACTAGGTAGGTCACTAGATATTTTCCAAGTGTGACGATTTACATATTCTCGACAATCTAAACAGCGCACCGTTTGAGCTCTTTTAAAACGCTTCTACACTGCCGGTAATCGCAAGTCAGTCCCATCTGCACTTTTATCAAAATGTTAGAAATGTTAGACAACACATCACATCATGAGATAAGTCTCAAGACAGATTTTGTCCACTTCCCCTAGGGTAGCTGGAACATGTCCGGATGTGGCCAATATAGTTCTTACGATACTCAGTTTGACCGCCAATGGATATGGCTTTGAATTCTCATGTGATTTGATGTATCGCTTGAAGGATTTTGATTTAAATAGGATCTATCACTTCCCCGGAGATACCTGGAACATGTCCGGGTGTGGTCTACATGGTGCTGGTTACTCATCATGACTCTTATTGATCTTATTTTTGAATTCTCATGTGAGTTGATTTATCGCATGACCATCGCCAAACCCACGTTTATGAAAACCTCTAGCCTGATGAAGACCCATACTCACCGGAATATGTTCCGGCCATTGCTCTGAAACCAGCGGAACAAATCCAGAAGCATTCAATAGCGTTCTATGGAACCATGGTATCTTTCTACTGTTCAATACTGTGCTAAACTAATGGAGCATCGTCATGGAATTGTGACTGACTAGCGGTTATTTTTCTCATTGACGTTAAGTGTAATCGCAAGTCAGTCCCACTCAGATTTTGGGTTAACATAGATGCATTCTATCAAATTGTACGTTTATTTTCAAATTTATGCCCCCAAAATAAGTGTCAAATTAGAAAACTTGTAAAATCTTTGAACGCCGTTTTCTCATTTCCAGTTTTTTATAGATGGGACTGACTTGCGATTATGGGCAGTACAGTGCTACAAACTTCTGTGTGTGACTTTTGTCGGCAACCTATTTTTATTTGGCAGTCTTTCCATCTATACATGTTAGACAGCTGTCATTGGCAAATAGAAATCATTAGCATTTTGTAGTGCGTACACACTTAAGATTTTTTGCCGAGATGGGTACCACCGAGCAGCTCGGCATTTTATTTTGCTGGATCTCAGTGAAAAACTTGCCAAGATTCATCAAAATTTATGGTTGTTAGTTGAGATTTCGGCAAAATTCCCATTTGTTAGCTAAATTTCGTTTTTCACTGAGATCCAGGTAAGTCAGTCGTACAAATCTAATCAGATTGAAGATTAAAGGCTACAAACATGCAGCGAAGTTTTTTGCAGAGAAAACCCAGTGAGATAGCCTTACAATTTTGCTTACCGAAAACAGTCACTAACTGCCGAAGCCGCCATTTACCGTAGGTATTAACAATCAAATGTAGTTAAAGCACTAAAGTTGTTTGTATTACTTCTGCGTGAAGTTTACGATTTACGTAGTTGAAGATGCTAATTTTCAAATAACAGACTAAAGTGGAAATTTTTTATACAATATATGAGGAGATAAAAGTACAGAATTGATAGTTCCGTTAGAGTACGGCAGTGTGATAATTGTATGTAGAGAGTAGAAAGCGAGCAAGGACAACTTTGAGGAAGGTACAAATCAGGTTGATCATCTCTCTTTACCAAACTCCCCCGTTGGAGAGGGATGGTGAGGGGTATTCCCCCCGCCACCAATGTCAAAAAGAGATGATCACCGACTTGCTCATGTACTGACGATGTGTTTTTGAAACCCTACCCGTGTCTCCTCGAGATCGTCAAGTCGACGATGACAGGAGCACATACCGTGGTAGAGGTAACAATAGCTGCAATTCCCAAACCTACGACTGGATGCCTCCCTTCAGATAACAACTTGAGTGTGGTACAATTGATTGAACTGTTTCAAACACATCGTCGGTACATGAGCAAGTTGAAGAGAGATGATCAAACCGATTTGTACCTTCCTCAAAGTTGTCCTTGCTCGCTTTCTACTCTCTATATACAATTTTCACACTGCCGTACTCTAACGGAACTATCAATTCTATACTTTCAACTCCTCATCTATCTTATAAAAAATACCGCTTTAGTCTGTTATTTTAAAATTAGCATCTTCCACTATGTAAATCAAATGTAGTCATACTAGCCCGTGGCTAATAATCTACTAAATAAAGTAAAAAAAGCAATGAAAGGTCTAGGCTAGTTCTGACGGATAATGATATTTAGTTTCGACGTCTGCCAATAAGTAAAATCCCAACTAAAAGTAGCCCAATAAAACCCCCAATGATCGAACGGGTAGATGTATTAGTAAAACTGGAAATTTTAACAAAATATTCGACTTCCCATAATTAGTTAGTTAGTTTTCTTTATTAAGGTGACTTTCAGTCTAACGCTGGTTCGTCTCCGGCCACTTCCCATAATTTCCAATAGGGGAACGGAGAGAGCCATATTTAGGATTCTTGTGTTGTAGGTCTAAGACAATCAGAAAATACCATATTTATACCACAGCCGAGGATCTGTTGACTTTTTATTGTACAGTGTTATGTAAAGTATATTTCAGATGGAATCAATTTATTTTTTATAGAAAGCGATCTAATACTGGTGTTTCATTATGAGCAGTGAGTTCTACTATATTGATAAATTACTTCAATAGTATTTTAAGAAATGAGCCACATTTTTGTATAAGGGTCTATCGAATAATTGAAATAGTTATTTATTTATCAGGAAACTTACCGCTTCGAAAAAAAAACGTTTTGATTTTTATACAAATATTGGAACAAGATATCAAAAATCTAAAGAATCTGTTTTTTTGCTAAGGTTCTTAAAAAAAATTACCAGTATAACATGTGTTTCTACCTCGTCATGGCAAAAAGTATGATTTAAAATACTGCAAAAGCCGATTTCAGTTTTGCTTATCCAAATTTTTTTTTCATGATGCGATATAAATAATGTTTTGATGTGTTAATTTTTTCAAGAACCTAAGGAAAAAGCTGGTTTGTTTGGATTTTCAATACCTTTTTCCAGAATTTTTCCGAAAATCCAAACGTGCTTGAACTTTCCATTGCATTCTATTGGAATGATAACCTCAACTCGGATTCGCCTAGATGGGCATATAGCTCTGTATATTCATTACACGAAATCTGTATATCAAGAGCCACATGTGAAAAGGACATACAGGTTGGTTGGTTAGTTGTCTTTATTAAGGAGATTTTCAGTCAGACGCTGGTTCATCTCCTACAAGCATTTTGTAAACAAACCTTTGTAGGACTTTTTCTCGCCAACATAGGGTCGTCCACGCAAACCAACAACATCATCGGGGAGGGGAAAGTTTCCCCCTACTCGGTGATAGTGATGGTTTGCGTTGGTGTCATATGGATGGTGAGAAAAGAGCATACAAAGGTTTGTTTGCTTGTATGCCCTTTTCACATGTTGTTCTCGATATGAAAACTGAATTACAGAAGTTGCAATGAACGGAGCTTCGTTTGAATGTAAGAGAATGAAGAATGATTAATTTGGAGATATGTACTGTTTGGTGTTTGATTTGGAAGTAAACTGTGTATTAGGGTGGTTCAAAACATCGATTTTACTTTACCAAGTTCGATTGTTTTAAGATCAAGTCCTGACCATTATTCTAAAATTTGAGCTCATTTGGTTGCACTGGCCCTTTGGAATTTATATGGGATTTACAAAGGGAAAAAATATGTTTTGTTCACCACATCCTAGCGTCTCATCAAATTGATTTTCGAATAGATTTGCTACATGTATTATTAGATTTTTTTTTTCAACTACAACTTTGCTGCAGTCCACTTTTTGATTGAATGCCTAGAAAATTAGTTATTGACTGAGTTCAAAGCCGATAACTTTCTTACATGATTAATCGACATGCTTTCAGGGCAACACTGCATCTTGCACTATAGTACGACATAGTAGCCTGGAATTGTTTAACTTATTATTCGCGCCAAGTACACCAATGTTGCCTGCTAAACAGTTGATGAGGCATGTCAGAAGAATATAATTTTCCTAATTAAATAACAACTAATTATCCCGACGTTAAATTAACAAGTGTTATTCAACAAGTGTTGTAGCTGAGACAATTTCCTATAAGTACAGATAGTAAATTTATCCACAATGCATTATGGCTAAAGTCTAGAACGAGGAGATCAATTTCCATATAAACTTTAAAATAGCAAGTGCAGTATGAGATCATAACCAAATGAGCTCAAATTTTGGGAGAATGATCAGGATCTGATTTATAATTGATTGAGCTGTTTGTCATAGATTAATCTATCGCAACCCGGGTAGCCGAGCAATTTGCAGTTCCATGCTCCGAGTTTCCAATTGTAGTCCTTATTTTGTCGCGTAGGTCTGTGTCGATTGTTCCGATCCGTATTTCTTTCTTCGGTATTTGCAACTTTATGTTTTTCCAGGGCGGATTGTTGGGCCTACACCAACCCCCTGTCTCGCCGAGGGACCATCGTGTCCAGCTCTGTTTAGAGTCCCACGCTGGCACTAGGACGGTGATCAGCCGCACCTCCATTGTGAACAGACGCTCAGGTTTGGTAAAGCATTTCCTCTTGGGAACTGAGCTTGGTGGTGCAACATCGAATTTTGAACCACCCTACTGTATATGTATTATTGACTACTCATTGACAACAATCCATAATGGTCCCAAAGCCATATTTAATAAGATAAAATGTTTTCGCTTAAACGTGATGTTAAAATACGTGGAATAATACTAGGTCGAAGTTGATCTGAAATATCATTAGTTAATCTTAAATTACTTCACGGTGGCTCTGCTTGAATAAAATTAAATTAAAAAAAAAATAGTATCGCTGAAAAACCCACCAAACGAAATCTCAGGTGCCCCTTTTTCATTTGAGACTTGTTTCAAAATGTTCTATTTTCCATTTATTTTTTTGGGCTTAAATGGGCGTAATCATTTTTAAATGTGATTTACGCTAAAAAATACCATATGAAAGGGGCGAGCTTAAGCTTTCGTTTGGTGGGTGTTTCTGTGAAACTATTTTTTTTAATAAAATTTTCTTTCAGAGACAGACTTAATAAGTACAAATAATAGCAGAATCGTTGCAAAATTCTGGGAGAAGGGATTGCGTTAAGAATAACTTGTTATGAACTTCCAACCTTCCGTTTTAATCAAATGATGTGGCTCATTTCTTATAAACTACGAATGGTCAATAATTTCTAGCAAGCTTCCGATAATTTTCAAACTCATACGCGCCTAGTAACCCTCATGTTTTAGGTTAAGACTACTAACCCCTTAATAGAATTAGTATAATAACTCTACTAGTTAACACCCCACCTTCCTACCGTTTACCGTTTCCCCTTTGTTGGTGTGTTGTTTGTTTAGTTTTCTTTTTCCGTTGGATATCCATCCCTGTTTCTTTCCAGGACAACCGATCGCAAATGGAGAGAACGGTGCCCCAGTTTCAGTGGGACCAGTGTCCAACGGTAGCGCTAGCACTAACTTTAGCCACTCGGTACAGGCGGAAATCAGCGTTGACTATCAACTGCTGGCCGCAAAGCCGGAGCCAAGTCCTGCGACGACAGACTCAAGCGTAGAGGATGAGCCGTTCCTGGTTACCGCCGCTCCAGTAGAGCAGGGCAAAAGTGGTGATGCTAGCAGCGCACCGGAAGAGACGAACAACGATGAATGCGTACAGCCCGAGTACGATCCTGCTACCGAGAAGGTAGTTGACGGAATCGTAGAGCAGAAGGTTGTACGATTGGACGAAGAAGGAACGAGCAATGAGATTATCGAGCAAGTAGCTAGTCAAGTGGTAGAAGAAGTTCTACAGGAAGCAGAAAGTAAGATCAACGAAGCAGCTGAAGCTGCAGCTGTTGAATTGGTAGACAAGGTAGTCGAGCAAGCGGAAACCGCATCTCTTGTGGCTGATATCGATGAATCTGCAGAGAAAGGAGAACCTATTACATCGGCTGAGGAATCAATTGTCTTAAATGCTCTATCAGAGGCTGTTGGTGAGCAGGTTTCAGCAACGCAGGAAGAAGTTGTCTGTGAGGCATCAGTACCGGAGGTGGTTGACGAAGTTGAACCGATTCTGATTTCAAAGGAAGTCACATTTGCAGAAGCGGCTCACGAAGTTGTTTCCGAAGTAACAGAGCCGTCCGAGAAACCGCAGGAAGACAAGATTCAATCAACTGAAACTGAATCAATTCAAGAAGAAACAGCTGTTGAATTGACTGTATCGGAAGCTGCTACAACGGACGAAGTCATTCAAGTATCAGAAGAGGCTATTGTTACAGACGATGTTTTTGAAACTGCTTCTAAGGTAGAGGAGTCGAACGAGAAACCGCAGGATAAAGAGGGTGAACCAATTGAAGCTGAAGTGACACAAGAGGAAATTGTTATCAAATTATTCGCATCTGAAGCTGAACAATCTATCCAAGATTCTGAAGAAGCTACTTTTGTAGTTGAGGATACTGTAGAACAGGATGTCGTAGAACCAATGGAATCCAAAGTGACGCAAGAAGAATCTACTGAAGTGACACAAGAGGAAATTGTTATCAAATTATTTGCATCTGAAGCTGAACAATCTATTCAAGATTCTGAAGAAGCTGCTGTTGTAGTTGAGGATAAAGAAGAACAGTCAGAGCAGGATGTCGTAGAACCAATGGAATCCAAAGTGACGCAAGAAGAATCTACTGTCGAAGAACCCGTGTCAGAAGCAGTCATCGTGGCTGAACCAATACTTGCTTTAGCCGATGAAGTTGTTCCGAAGGTAGAAGATGTAGCTGAGACGTCACAGGAAGAGTTGGTTGAACCAACTGAATCTCAAGTGGTACAAGAAGAACCTACTGTCGAGATAGCTGTATCCGACGAAGCAACTGTCGAAGATGTTCTTCAAGCTTTGAAGGAAGTTACTTTTGCTGACGAAGAGCAGGTCAAGAAGTCGCTGGATGGAGTAGAGGAGGCATCTGAACAAGCAGCAGCACAAATAGAAGCTTGTGAAGTACTATCAGAATCGAGAGTTACTTTTGTCGATGAAGTAGTTGAAATCGTCAGCCCAGTATATGAATCGATCGAAAAAGATACACCAATAGAAGCCGAAACCACATCTGAAGCAACTATTATTGCTGAAGAACCGGTTGAATCGTCGAGAGGAGTAACTTTTGAAGATGAAATAGTGGAAATTGTTTCAAAGGTAGATGAATTGGTCGAGATACTACCGGAAGTAGTGGACGAACCATCTGAACTAACAGTTGTGACTTCGACGGTCGATGTTGTGGTGGATAATTCCACATCAACAGATGCTGAATTATCGATTGATGATGAAGAAGCCACAATCAAGGCGCTAGCAGCAAATATGGAAGAGGCAATTGCTCAACAATCGGAAGAAGCTGAAGCTAGAGCAGTTGCTGAAGAACTTGTCAACGAAGTATTGGAACAGGCAGAGAGTATTGCAAACGAAACAGCTGAAGTGGACTCGTTCGAACTTCCCAGCTTTGACCCAGCTACACAGAAACTAGTTGATGGTGAAGTCATCAATCGTTTTGCTCCTGAAGATGTGCTACCACAGATTGCTGGTGAATCGTCTTCTGTTGCAGAACCAGCGATAGAAGAAGTGGTTGAAAAGGTGTCCGTTCAAGAAGTCAGCGCTTTCAACACTGAAAAATTGCCAATGGAAAGTCCTGTCGAAATTGAGGAAGCTGTCTCCGAGGTTAACGTTGATGGTGAAGACAGTGGAAAGGCATCTGATGAAGTTGAAAAAGAGATTACTCAGACGGAGGCTTTCAAAAAAGAAATCGTACAGGAGATTACCGTGCAATCCGTTGAAACTGAAGAGAAAGCACCAGCCATTGAGGAACCCGCAGAGAAAGTAGATGCTGATGAATTATCAAAGAATTATGTGGATGAGATCAAGGAAAGCTCTTCTGAACCAGAATTTGTTGAAGAAACAATAATTACAGAGAAGGTTGAGACAATGGTTGAACCAGCGCAGATCGAAACATCGCATGAGCAAAATGAACTTGAAGCAGTTACTATCGAAAGTAATTTAACTGCAGAAAGTGAACAGCCTAAAGAAGCTTCTCATGAGGTTGCCTCTTGCGTGGAAGACAACGAATTGGATCGTGAACAGCCGGTTGAAGAAGATGTCATTGTGGCAGAAATCACAGAATCAACTGAAGCAGTTTGTGAAGCGGTACAAGAAAGCGTAGTCAAGCCATCTCCGGTTGAATCAACAACTGCATCAGATGCTGTGGAAGAGTCAATTAAATTTTCCGAGCCTACTCAAACTATCGAAGGTAGTGTATCAGTACCAACGGTTAACGAAGAACCTCTGACGTCTGAAAACGCCGTCAATGATGGAACAAACGTTCAACTGGATTCGGTAGTTGAGGAAATTACTTCTGTTATCTCGAAAGTGATCGATCCAGTTCAGGAAATTATAACTGTCACTGAAACGACTGCAGATGCTACTTCAATTAATGAATCTTCTGAAGAAGTATCTACTACAGTAACTGATAGTGAAGCACTTCCAGAAATATCTGAAACCGTCTTTGAAGTTCAGTCGGGAGATACCGAGGCAGCATCGGTTGTAGAGGAATCTGTGAGCGCCAACGAACCCAGCACGGAAGAGCAGATTACTGTAGAAGAAGAAACTGTTGTTGAGTCAAACCATGTGGTGGAAGATAATTCCAGTGTACTGGAGACTCCAGTTGCAGTTACATCTGTCGACGAGACTAAGTTGGTTGAAATTTCTGTTGAACAGCAAGTAGAGGTCAATGAAACTAGTGAATCAGTCACAGCCCATTCAGTAGAACATGAGGTGCCTCTTTCAGCAACTCCCGGTAAGATTCGGAAAGAAGAACCAGCTTTGGAATCTGCTACATCTGTACAAGTAGATGCAGTGAGCAGTGATATTCAAAAAGAAATTAATGTTGTGGAGGTAACTGACCCAGTAGAGGAGTCACCTTCAGTTGAAACCGAAACGAAGGAAGCTGCACAGACCAGCGAATCTGTTGTAGCTGAAATCGTTGAAGAGGAGGATGCATTTGAAAAGGAAGCTGACTCGTTTGAAATCGTGAAGCAAGTACAAGATGCAGTGGAAACAGAAAGTGAAAATGTAACAGAGACGACTGCTGACGAAACCAAAGATACACCTTTGATGGACGTTGCTGATATTATTTCTGTTGAAGTCAAAGTAACGGATGGTGAACAGTCAGTCGAACCAGCTGTGGAAGAAATCGTAATGAAAGAGGTTGCAACTGTTCAAGAGTCTGAGCCAATCGACGAAGTAAAGAAAGAACAAGTGGCCATCGAAACAGAAGGACAAACTGAAACAGAGATGACATCTACTGAAATGCAGGAAACAACGTTGACTGAAGTTGAAGTTAAAGATCTTGCACAAGCAAGTGAATCAGCAGTGGACGAAAGCGTAAAGGAAGAGGTTCCAGCTGTTCAGGAGGCTGAGCCAATTGAAATAGTACAGGAAGAACAGGTGACCGTGGAAACAGAAGAACAGAAAGTTTCGGAGACGACCACTACTGAAGCGAAGGAAACACCATTAACTGATATTGTTGAAGCTATTTCGGTTGATGTTGAGGGCCTTGTACAAAACAGTGAAGAACAAGTAGCAGCAGAACGTATTTTCACAGAAAAGCCCGCAGAACAAACCACTGTACCGCCAGCTCCAGATGTAGTCTCAGAAACGATAATCACTACAGAGGTACTGCATGGTGCTTCTTCAACCGAGCCCGTAATCTTAAGCTGCGAGGAAGCCACAGTTGAAGTGGTTTCTGTTAATGAAGTCAGTGTTGAGGAACCAGAAGAATCGTCAAGCAAACTGTTAGAAGATTCATTTACACGAGGACCGACCATTGAAGAAATTCATGACGAAACTGTAGATGCTTCAGATGAAGGAAAAACTAGTGATGAATTCCCGATTAAGGTTGAAGTTGAAAAAGTAGACACTTCTGAAATGATCTCAGAAGTGACTGACGAGCCGACAGTCACTAGCTCAGTTCCTTCAGTTACAACAGCTCCGGTGCTGGATATCATTTCGGAGAATCAAGAGGATGCAGAACTTGCTGAAATAGAAAAGGACGCTGCTGAGGCAAAACTCATCGAACAGGTACGACGAGCTAGCCAAGACTACTACACAAAAGAGCACGAGGCCAAGGAAGCACTGGTGGAACGCACATTGACTGAGGCTACAGCTGTAGCAACTGAAATTGAACAAATCGTCGATCACATAATTACTGAAAAGATTTCGCATGTTATTCCGCCTGAAGTGTGCAGTCAAGATGTAGCCGAGGACCAAACTGCATCAGAGGTTGTAAGTGAACCTGAAAAACTAGCTTCTTCTGCTGCAAAGGTAGTTGAAAGTATCATTAGTGAAGAAAAGGTTTCGGCGACGAGCAGCGTTACGTCAACGGTCCCTGCCAGTAGTTCCTGCCCAGCCGAAGCTAACAATAGCATTAACCAATTGAGCACGAGTACTGATACTAATCAACCCGAATGTCCCTCGACTCAATCATCTTCAACCACATTGCCATCTTCATCTCCCGCTGTTGATCCAATTTCATCAAAAAATGAGCAGGAAGATGATTCGATTGTTAGGGATGCACCAATTAGCAATCTAAATTTTGCCGTAGTTGAGGGAATTCAAGACGCTGCCCAGCACGCCGCAAGCTCTGCCGAGCACGTCATTTCCTCATCCATTAGCTGCACCACCACAACTACCATCACCAGCTTGACGCAGCATCCCGAAGCAATCAGCAGTAGCAGCAGTAGCAGTAGTGCGGCCATCATTGATCAAGTACCGACCAGTGTCAGCAACGTTACTAATCCTAAATTTCTTACTCTGAATCTAGTTAACTATAGTCCTAGTGGTAGTAGTGGTAACAATAGCAATAGCTCAGCATCCGCTTTGACTCAATCGCGTAATGCTGCGGGCACTGCTGACGTCGCCGCCGTCGCCTCGGACAGTAGTGACCAACTGATGGAACTCGATCTGTTGCGTAGGAAACTGGACGAAACGGAGCTGGCCATGGCCAAGATAATCGCCAATATGGGTGCCATCCCGAAGGGCCAGGTTAGCTGATTTTGTTTTGTTTTTGTTGTCCCTTGTTCTCCCCCCGCCCCCACCCTGTTAGAGCTATGATGCCCCCCCAAATGTTATTTAGGTTTTTTTGTTAGTTGATTACACTCATGCGGTGTTTCTTTTTATTGTTCCTATGTAATGCGTTTTCCCTTAGAAATTGTCAGTTGTATACGAAATTTTTATAAACTGCTAAGCCCTCATTGTAGAGCATTAAATATGAATTATTTGCGCCACTGATGGTCTGCAAACTTGTAGGATTACTGTTTTAATTTGTTTAATTCTTTCTTAATAGAGAATCCAAAAAAAGAGGGTTTCCCTTGTCAAAACTGAATCTAGAATATGACTGCAATGCGAAAAGGTTTGAGTGGTTTGAGTGAGTTGGTTCAGTAAAATACTGGGTAAAATATTATTTATCAACAATATGGTTCACTCCACTGTTTTGCAAAAAAAATTATGTTCCCAAGTCAGGAGAATAGGGGTCAAAACTGAACAAGCTCTCCTGAGAGCTCAATTTGAGAGCTCAAAACTGAACAAGTTCTCCTGAGAGCTCAAGCATACGAATAAATTTGAGCACAGTCATTTTTGCAAGAAAAGAAGATTGAATAAATAAACAACAAGCAAACAGCTGCCAGATCTTGTTTTGGTGGTTGTCCACTGATACTAGCGCCACTGACTGTGACATGAAAGGCAACTAACTGAGTGGTGCGGGTCGATTTCTTTCAATTTTCGAGTTATTTTGCTGGAAAAATATTATTGTTCATGCCTTTGCTTACATCCTCTCAACACCACTCACAAATTGGCCGCTTTTTCAAAAGCAAAAATGAGAACTCCTTCGTGACTTTCTCATTATTTGTTTACAATTACTTGATTGAGCCAATATTTTGTAAAGTTCGGAACAAGATTGAAAATGGTTAACGAGTGAGAAACTTATCAACATAAAGTCAAACGGTTGAATATGCTTGTGCTGCTTTTCTTCAGACCCGTTCATTTTGATGTTTAAGTTTTATTTGTTGAGATTGTTTATAATCATTAGAGTTTATTTCAATGTATCAATCGTACTTTTTCATTGGTATGAATAGATTTGGCCAGACTTTAAGAGACTTGTTTTATTACCGTACAATTTAATTTAAGGATACAATTTTGAGTTTTGATCCTAATAGTTTATGTTTCAAACGAATCTGATTTAGAAACGTAAGCTTTGGTGTTGGTCCTGATTATTTTGACAACGATTTCGAGTAACTCCTCACCACTCAGATTAGAGCCATTTGAATGACAGTTGCAGAAGTATGCTTGTCTTTTTGGCTCGGGAAATATCTCCTACACGCTAAGAACAATTAACCCAAATTAAAGTATAGTTTACCCAGATTGGGCGTAAACTGAACAAACTCAGAATATGGGAAATTTGTTTATCCCATATATGTTTATTAGACTGATGCAAAACTTGAAATTTTCGCTCCACAGTGCTTAAACGGTCCCAAATTGGGTCCTTCTTAGCCTCCCAAAATTTGAACTACTTTAGTAAGAAACGGACTTGGCACAAACCATTTCAATTTTATATGGAAATTACTATGGGAAAATTTATGATTTTGTTCATATCTATCTAAAAATTCACCATATCACTATGCTTTTAAAAATGATAGCAGTGATTGTAGCAAATTTTCTCAGCTACAACTTTGTTGAAAACTACTTTTCAATCAAATGTAAGGAACAATGATTCAAGTCACTGATGTCTTATGATTATGCTCATTCAACTGTTCAGCAGGCAACATTGGAGTTTCTGGTGCGAAGAATGGAGCACAAAATCATGGCTACTATGTCACACTGCAGAAAACAGTGTTGCCTACAGAACAGCTGTTTGATCATGCCATAAGATTATCAATCTCTTAAACAATTAATAACAATTTAGTTTGACATTTGGCTTAAAAACAATATTCGACAAAGTTGTAGCTTAGAAAATTTCCCGTAAGAATAGTTACATAAATTTTCGAAAAAGCAATATGAAAAATGGATAGAAGACAATGAACAACAATTTTTGTTTTCCCATAGTAATTTCCATACAAACTTCGAATAATTTGTGCCAAGTCAGTTTCTTACCAAATGAGTTTAAATTTTGGGAGGCTAATCAGGACCTGATGTGAAACCGTTTGAGCACTGTGTAGCGAAAATTTCAACTCCTAATGTTTATATTTAAGTCCAATTTGCATAAAACTATTCATATGTGGATTATATTTACCCAAATTCGGGTTGACAAATTTTCAAATATACTCAGTATGTTCGGCTTACGCCCTACCTGTGTAATCTATTGGAGCAATCTGGGTAAGATCGACTAAAAATTGAGTTGAATTCGACTTAGTGAGTAACTAGCTTCTCCAGGAAAACTTCTCGAATATGAGGAAAATCGACAGTGGTTTCACTCAGTCTATTAGTATATTGCTAGACTGAGAAAAATTGTCGTACACTTTTGTCATATCCGAGAAGTTTTTCTTGGAAAAACTCGGAAGATTTTACTCACTTTGTGAGTAAACCCACTTTTTACTAAATTTAATTGAATGCAACTCAATTCTGAGCCGATCTCATCGTCCATGAATGCATTTGACGTAGCAATTATCTCACGTATATCTTTGCATGCGTGTTATAACCGTCGCAAAACTCTTATTTATGATAAGCGGCGCAATATGTAGAAATTGAGAAAGTGGACCATATGGTTAATAGGTTTGTCATCGTACTTGCTTTTTTGTTTTTGCTGTAGGCTGCTGCAACTTTCTGTAAGTTGCTGTAAGTAAATAATATGGTGCACAAAATACGAAAACATTCTTTTGATTTTTGGTGTACAGAATCACACAGAAAAGCAAGTATGGGATCAACCCTATTATAATATTTGATTCAATTAATTCAAAATTTAGTAGCTGTGCAAATGACTTGAAAGCAAATAGAGAAAGGTGGACATCGGCAGCATGGACTATCTTTTCAGTAGGTACGTTCAACCCACAGCACAAGTGACTGTAGCTTTACGGGATCGTGCCAATCCTTCACCATATTTGTAATATTTCGGATATCCTTGAACGACGTAATTCGATCTCAAACTAATATTTATGGAAAAGTACACGAATGGGTGCCGATATTTCCTCTAAGTGAAATTGGTGAGAATCTTTATATATAAGAAAACAATCAGTTGCAGTCACATTCTAATTCAGAACCTTAATACATTAAAATTGGACATTGACATCCCCACACAATCTAGCATACCTAACCATGTCATCTGGAATGATGTGACTATCCCCGAAGAACGTATCATTCACAAAAAGGGCATTTTTCTGGATATTTTTCACTTTCATCTTTTAGAATTGAATTTCAGACTTACTTTATCAGGAGAATTTTACATAGTTAACTTTCATTTATTTTTAGAAATACATATATGCCTTCTAACAGAAGCGTTTGTTTTTGATTTCCAACCTAGAGAACATTTGTTTTGCTATATCTTGCACTACGCAATCAACAGCCTAACGAGTTGTACATCGAAGTAAATTATCTCTTGTTTCATTTCTTTTTCATATTTTTTACGAAAACGAAAACCGACCACTCTTAAAATATAAAATAATAATGACATCACATCGTCAAACACGCACATAACAAACCAACCACATTTCGCCGACTGAAACAAAAAAACAACCCCCACAACAAACTTCTTTCCCCCATGAACCACACGAATATCTAATTAACAGTCGTCACGGCTATTCAAGGTCTGATAAGCGCAGCAGATGAGCAGTTAATGAAAATAGATAGCATTAAAAAATCGGCGAACAACTTAAGCAAGGTTAGAGCACCATTGATTTCGTGTTTTTTTTATTTTGCAAGCCGTTGTGTTCCCTCTACTTTTATTATTTTCCTCCGAGTTAATAGCCCGCACCTTTGTTTAACTACTCAGTCTCATTAGAAACTTATTTTAGTTGGAAAATCAATAAAAAAAAATCAATGCACAAGAGTCTCCAGCCAGCGTGTAAAATAGTTGCGACCCAGTTACTAATTCGAGTACTAGACCACAGGCAAAATCAAGTCAGCAACTGAAGGCTCTTCCTGACCCGGGCAGCATCTTTGGTTAACCCTCAGTAGTAGTACTAAGTTGAACTTGTTTTTTTTTTGTTTAATATAGAGTGAATTGTCTTTTTGTTACCACTACTTATACACACTATTTACTCAGTTTCCTGTAAATTAAAACAAGCTCACACTGTTTGTTTACCCACGATATTTATTCCCTACTCTGTTTTCTGTTGGTTATGATTTCTGTACAAATAAAAATTCAAAATTTGGATTGTTCTTCTGTTGTTTGGCAATTCTTCTGTTCTGCTTTCGTTTTCTCGTGAAACGTTTCCTAGAACAATTATCTAATTGTGATACTTTTGATCATTGAATGATCGTATACTCCCTCCCTTCAAATGGCTACCGAATCAAACAGGAAACAGAAGAAACCGACAATACCGAAATAGCTGAGAAGCTTACCGAGCAGAATGGTCACGTGTGTAAACCCGTGGACGACAGTAGCAAGACTGTAGTAAGCGAAATGCAAAAACAGGACGAACAGCTAGAACGCGAAGAGCTACTACAACAACAGGAGCAAATGGAACAGAAGGAACAACAGCCAGAAGCTGAAGAAGATGCTCCAATGGTTAAGCAACAACACCTAACGGGTGCTGTTCCGAAGAAACGAGAAGTCAGTGAAGATCGCAGTTTACTGAAGGTGATACCCATGGAGAAGAGGGCGGCCTACGAGCCAGGACAACATTCCAGTCGTCCTGGAACTCCAGTGCAGCATGTCACGCTGGATCAGGTTAGAATCCGATTTTGTTTGAATAAACACCTTATACCAACATTTCAATCTCACAGTCACTCATCGAAGCCGATGGAGCAGAGTCAAAGTGCATCCTGCTTGATGCTAATGTGCCACAGAAGGTTTCGGTTGCAGATTCGGAGCTTGCCGTCGAAACACTGGAAGCTAGTCAGAAAAGAAGTGAAGAAACGCCTGTAAGTATTACCCCGTTTAACTTTTCCATTTGCCGAAATAAGGTGTACATTTATCTTTGCGTTGTAAAACAATAGTTCGACCTAAACCTGGTGGTGGTGTTTGAATCGCTATCGAACCTAAACCAGGGTCGTAGTTTGGAGGTCAACGTATTATTAGGATCTGAACCGACCACCATGGTTGCTCAACCCTCACCAACGGCCCGTGTGGCGTCACCAATGAGGGAGGTAAGGGTAAAAACCAGCTCGGGGCTATTCTGAATGTCTTGTTCCGTATGACAACTCGCGTCACGCGATGCTGTATTGGGTTTCACAGAGTGATTGTTTTGAACATTTTAAGAACCCATGGCATTTCATCCCCCTACCTGATCCCTTTTACTGATATCCGGTTTCGTCAAGAATCTTCATTGCTCCATTCTCTAACCGACGTTATATGTGCTGTGTGAATGCAATATTCTTGACTAATTATCCGAATTTGGTAGTTTGCGAATTGAAACCTTACAATATGATGATTCACCTTCAAAATCAGTAACTCACGCATTGCGAACATCCTCTAATCCAAATTCCTTATTCCTTTATGGCTTCTAAAAGTTTTAACATGCTGTTTATAGTTGTAATAAGTTGTAGCATTGATTGATAGATGATAAGTTTATAAAGAGGATTAATGTGGATTAATTTAACTAAAGGTTCATATTGGATATTTCAACAGTGACAAACACTCAATAAAATTGCATGCCATGACAATAAGATCGGTGACGCTAACGTGATTCGCATAAATTTTGGATAGAAACTACATACGCTCCCTCATACACACTTAGAAATACCTAGTCTTGACCTACTTGACGGAATCCATCTTTTACATAAAGAATGAGACGTAAACAAACATGTAATGTAACATTAAGTGCCCCGAGACTGAAAAGTTCGAAAGTACGGTTGATTAAACCGAATTCCGCTTCTATTATGACATAATTTTATTTCAAAATCTACTCTCTTATATGTCAGTCTCAGAGCACGAAAATTTACATAAATTTTTCTAAGTGTGTAAGTATATCCTGAAGACCACAGTAACATTTCAAGTTTTATCGAAGTTTTAAAGCATTCTACAAGTCTGAATCACGGTCTACAGAACCGTCATAAAACCCGAATTGTTACATGGCTAGTGTAACTTCCATGATTTATTTGTAGAGGCTCACCAAAGCAACCAAAAGTTCCACATTCAACGATAAAACTCATTTTCAAGTTCCATAAAGTTCAAATAAAGTTCCGAGAGAACCTTAAAGTTCGATAAAGTTCAAATAAAGTTCGGACAGAACTTTATTCCCAAGTAATCAAAAGTTGCGCATTCAACGATAAACCCACTTTCAAGTTCCAAGGGCAAATAAAGCTCCAACACAACTATCTGGCTACTTTAGAAGCTATAGAAAGCACACGAGGATCTTCAGGTTCCAAAAAGTTCCGATGCGTACTGGTAGCACCTTGAAGTCCAAAAAAAGTTCCAAAAAGCATCCCTAAACACTTCTTAGGAACTTCAGGCAAGGCTGAAAACATGGCCGCAAAAAAGTTTCGAACAAGTTTCCCGCGGAACTTCTTAGCAACTTTAAAGTTTCTTAAAAAATCCATATGGAACTTCTTAGCAACTTGAATGTCTTAAAAAGGTCCGTCGAGGCCCACATGAAACAAAGTCTTTATTAGTAACAATATTTCATGTACATAAATGGCTCAAATAAATCATAATTCTTATATTCCACTGCATGAATATTCGATCCAAACATAAAAAAAATGATTCAAACCCGTGTATTCGGCATGCGATCTACGAACGCTAACCACAGCGCCATAAGTGTGTTGGAATACCATGCGGGTATTCAACTCAGTCAGCTGGCACTGACAACTCCAACAGTAGGCGGAACAACATTTCACTTTAATATATCTCACATGCTTGCTCAGATGGCGTGCTGCTCTCACGCAGATGGACTGGGTGACCTTCAACCAAGCTACTTAAGCTTCAAATAGCCTTTTATCAGAGTTTTTGGTTACTTGGGCAGTCACCATGAGTGATGTACTGCTGGGTTCTAATCCAGCGCTTTCTTGCAGATTTCGTTTCCGTCCCTTCGTAGTGGAACAGCGGGGCCGGATCAGCTCCACTTACTTTCGATTGAATTGATGACATTGACGATAGAGCTCAGCGCTCAAGATCCAGTTGGTGCAGCCATCAGGCACGAATTAAGTACCACAGACACTGGTTAATGACGACCCGCAGCTTTTCAGAGCGCTTCGCTTACACGCACACGAATAACAGCGCAGATTTAATCCAGGTCGTAAATTTTATGAGGCTCAATTATCTTAATAAATCTATTCAGAGCTGAATGTCTCAATTTTAAAATTTATTAAACACTATTTCGACACAAACAGATGAGTGCTTCACATGTTGGTTATTCATTAGTGTGTGTCAACTTTACAACCCTCAACCCTACTCCCCACAGCTTTTTAGATTCGTAATGAGGTTTCCAACAACTGTGCCAAATTTTGACGAATTGGGCTACGATCTGGATTTGCGGGAGAGCTTTATAATTTGTATGGGAAAATACATGGGAAACGGTCAAAAACTGTTCAATTGCTTGCCAAAAATTCAAATATAGCTCAATTTTTACTTAACCTTAGATTTAGCAAACTATACAAAACAACTTCGTTGAAGACCGCAAACCGATGCAACTTCTGTAAAAAAAGAAGTATTTAAGGTCCCGACTGAGATCAGTGGTGGATGTCATAAAAATGTTAGGGGGAAAAAACATCACCGACAAACCGACATGAATGATTATACAGATTACAAAGAAATTTCTGCTCAAAGCACAAAACTGACATCTGCCGCCGTGTTCACGGAAAATATTTATCCTAGCTACGAACACGCGTACAAAATTTATGAGTTGGTTCGTGTCTAATCTATTTCGGACAAATTATTTTTATCTAGATAAAACATTTCTATGATTTTGACAGATGGGATCGCTGCACATTTGAATCGACCGTTATGGATTCTCGATCAAGAATTAAGTTTAAGTTTCATGTCGGTTCGTCGGTGGTGACATCTCTGCAGTTAAAATGTCCATTTACCACATCTGACCGAGACACGACACACAAAATCTAGTGACCGGGAGGTGTAGCTCCAACTGACAGTGTCAAACAATGCAAAGCGAAAGCGAAAATCAGCACAGAGCGACGTACACACTTTCGCTCTATTTGCTCTCTCGAAGGAAACTATTGAAAATTCTAATTTTGGTGCTTGAACTAATCTGGTTTGAGCTCCACATATTTTTTAATCTCGCAATGCACAGTGGTACAGAATGCAGATTTAGGTGGAATGATATCTTTTGAGCCTGAAATTGAAACTTTAGACTAAAAGTCTTTTCTACAAAGTTGTTCCTTATAGTTAGGCCCTCATTTTTATGACAATGAATTCTAGAGTGGTTTCTATTATCATTAAAATCAAAAATCTAACGTTCTCATTTTAGAGTAATTTTTCGGAGTTGACTTAGGGTGTTCCTGGAAAAAATAGTTTTTTAGCAATAACTTTTTTATTTGAAATTTATCATGAAAGTCATCTTGTAGAGACTTTTAAAACTCTTTAAGACGAATGTTTTATAGCAGGATTTGTTGCCTGTATATCTTCTAATAAAAAAGATATACATACTCAAATATAGTAAAAAATATGAATAAATTCAAATTGATTTTATACGAGTTTAAAAAATAATATACCTCCCATTTTTTCATATTATTGACAATAACATACGGCCTTTCAAATGCTGCAAAAAAAATTTTTTTTTGTTTGCCGCAACCAGAGATATTAACATTTGAAAACTGCATATTTTTAGTATAAAAACGTCAATAACTCTTGATCAGCGAAAGATATTGACAAGCTTTTTGCAGCAAAAATTTGCGCCTTCTTAAGATCTAAAAGTTATCTCAAGACACCTTTGCTAAGAAATTCGAAATAAGAAAAATAGAGCAAAAAAACTGTTTTTTTAAGAGCCACCCTAACTCAATTCAAGAAAATAGCTCTAAATCGGCCAATCGGAGATACAAAAAAGTTATTTTCAACAAAGTTGCTTAAAATTAGCTCAGCTATAACTTTGCCGGAGAATGTATAACTTAATTTATTCAAACAAAAAAGTTAGATGTTTGATTTTAATGATAATAGGAACCACCCTAGAATTCATTATCATAAAAATGAGGGCCTAACTATAAGGAACAACTTTGTAGAAGAGACTTTTAGTCTAAAATTTCAATTTCAGGCTCAAAACATATCATTCCACCTAAATCTGCATTGATTGATTGATAAAAGTAGGTTTTTAAAAGAATAAGTAATTTTTTTAGTAAGGTTTTTTAAAAGAATCTTAAACTGATTTTAAATAGCTGTATTTATCTTCTCTTATAGGTAATAACGGAGATACAATTTATATTTAGATATGTTTTTATTTTCAAAGAGCCCATTTAGATTCAATAATGGATTCATTATAAAAATAGACTTGCAGAGATTGAATAAATACCATTTGGTGCGACCGGTTGGAATTCAACTTTGAAATCGGTGTTAGGGAAATCGCTTTTCGCAGGCAATCGGTGATAATTTTAATTGTCATAGCAACAGTTGCACATCCGTGCAATTTTCTAAAGTGACATTTTGAAAAATGATAAAGTTCTAATGTTAACGGATTCGTAGAAAAAATTCCCGCAAACCAATATTACCGTCGGGTAGAAGTAGCCTTACCCGACCTGATGGTGATATTGATTTGCGTGGGCGAGCCTTGACTTTCAAGACATAATCGAAAGAAGTCATTGTTTACAAAAGCTGTTACGCCCTAATTCCAGCCCTATCTTGATACGGAAACTGACATCCGATTGATGACCTTGACAAATGTCCAAAAAAATACTCTTTTACAAATTTATGGTGGTCCTGAAAAGGACCGTTTTGTCGTGATGGTTTAGTAATGCTGAGCTATTAGGGCGTTAAAAACAGATGAGGCTGGTGAGCTGTATGTTGTTTGGAGTGGAGACATAGATGGCCATCAGCGACTCACGAAGAGCTACTGATTCCAATCAATAGCGGGCAGATTCTTCCTCCTTCTATGGATGCTCATGTGGGCTGCAACTCACTGCTTGCAGGCTGCCTTTCGCTGTGTACTGGAGAACAATGTTCAACGCCACACGCCGAAAGCACTGCTGCTGCTGATGCTGACGAC